AATATACACATTTATTTCTCAAATTACATTAGTCAAATATAACGAAATGGAGTTTAATTGAATTTATATTATATTTTTTTATATTAATAGAAATTATTAAACAAAATTGTCAATTAGAAATTAATTTATATAATCAAACAAGATTTTAGTTTCCGTTTTAAATCGATAATAATCGTTTTTAAGAGACATGTAAATTTAGAATTTAAATAAATATGGTAAAGAAAATATTATAACTTAATTTATATATAAAACGATAGAAAATGTTAGCAACGGATCAAGAGAAGAATTTTTAAATTCCAATCGTATTCATGATTACCAATCGTATTCATGATAACATTCAAATTACAATTTTTCTCGATTCATTTATGCAAATCAAAATATAAGAATAAATTTACATGTAAAGTTAATCTCATAAAAACATAATTATGATTCCTCTCTATGAAAATTTATTTTATAAGGTTCTGTTTATGTTTCAACAATATAATTAGCTAATACATAGATACAATCGTCTCAATTAAGACGAATATATATGAATATATATGAATAATATAAATGTTTAGGACGAGTCGTCCTAAACATTTCTTGAAATTGTTTCGATCTTTTTTTGTTATCTTTGTTGTTATTATTAATCACTAAGTATTGGGTAATTGATTAATAGTGAAAGATCTACATTCTAAACTACTATTGTGTTATTGTAATAAAAATAATACAATGTTCTCAAACAATCCATGAAAATTATAGAAATGTTTGAATTAATTGTAATCAAAATGATTAATACAAAATCATATTCGCAGATATAGATAACTTCACTTGTGAAAAAAATATTTTTCTATATCATTTAGAAGAATATATAGAGTGTTAATGTATATGAAGCATATTTGAAAAATTGATTTTAGAGATTAAACACAAAAGTTGGTATAGAAAAATATCGATTGAGACTTAGTTGTTAAGTTATAAGCAATTGAAATTTGTATTAAACGAAATAAGACGGAATACTGTCGCGATAATACCGTAACGGAGACAGAAAAATCTGATTATGATTTAATAAATAAGCTTTAATCAACATTTTTGTATATCAACTTATGTGTTTGTTTTCTAGAATCATATTTGTATATATGTGATATATCATAAATATATAATAGATGAATAATAGATTTAACCATTCTAATAACATTGTATATAAAAAACAAAGAAAAATTTTATACGCCTTATATCGAGCATATTTTCTATTAATATTCATATAATAACACAATGTTTTTATATTATATGTTTTTTTATTATTTTAACAAGATTAAATAAAAAGAATTAAATAAACAAATTAAAAAAATTGAATAATTATTAATTTAAAAATAATAAATAATAAAAAAACGTATCTTTTTAAAAAATTAAACTAATAATTTTAATTTCTTCGAATGATAGCAATCGTTAATTTAAAGTGAAATTCCTCTACTGAAAATTAGCTGATATCAAGTTCCTTAATTATGACGTATTTAGTTTCTATAGTTAATGCCACATATTTTCATACTGACGACATTATGGTATGTGAATGATTATATTTTTACGGTACTTAAATTCCGTATATAAAGAGTATTAGAGATAATTAATGATATTCAATAAAATGACACTTCTAAGTGATCTTTTATTTCTTAACTCGATAAGTAAGAACATGTAAATCAATTTTAGATTAAATTATACTTGTGAACATTTGTTACGAAAATAATTTAAATATGTTCCCAAGAATTATGTAAAATTATTCTATTATTTATTTTATTATTTATTATTCTATTAATATATAATAATTATAATAATTATTCTATTATTTATTTATTTATTTTTTGTATTATATATTTTTTTCTGTTTTAACATTTAATATTTTGACACTGTGATATACTTGTTATGAAAATTCTAACCATATTCTTAAGAATTATGTTAAAATATTATATAAATATTATATATATAAAAATTATGTTAAAATTATTCTATTATATGTATTTATTTGATATGTATTTTTATTATATATTTTTTTTTCTTAAGTTAACTTTTATATTAATATTCAGATATCCAAATATCCTTTATGTAATATAAAATATACAATTTCTTTTTAATAAAAATCTTATTATTTAGCATAAATTTAGCATGTCATCTATTTATATTCCAGATTTAAAATTTTACTACTAAAAGAATACTGAAATCAGATATAATATTAAAAATTTTGGATATTGACACAATAAATTCTCTTCTTTTGGATTATGATATTTCAACGTTTTAAAGATTTTTATGATTCCTCTGACATAATAATCAAATTATGAAAAAATGTAACTTATGTATAACTTATGTATAATTTTAAATACTTCAAATTAAGATATTTTCTATTATTTTATTATTAATAAATATCAAAAATATGTATTGTGTATATATATATATATATATATATTAATTATATTTAAAAGCCAATAATAAAATTAACCGCAAATAATAACTAGCTATTTTTTATTTAATTGTTTATTCAAAAAGTCTGCATATACAAGTTATTTTTTTTATATTTTTACTTAATTTATTATTGAAAATTCATTCTCTTTTATATCGTTAAATTTTTATTTTTATTTCAGAAATTTATTTAATTTTGTATAAATTTCATTGAAAATGGAAGTTTTTAATTGATATCTTGAGCATTACTTATTTTATAGATAGTTATTTTCGTTTCTTTTGAACTTAGAATTCAATTTTTTCTCTAAAATCATTCTAATAAAATTGCAAAATTCCACATATGAATTATATTTATTATTTATATGAATTATATTATATATCTATAATATTTCTTTTTTATTTATCATCCAAGATTAACAATAACTGACTGTAGCAAACAATAACTAGCTAACAATAAGACTGTAGCAAAAATTCATATTATAAAAATCCTTAATTAATTTTTAAAAAATCTAATATTTAAATAATCTAATTAATTACAAACCAAAGTATTTTATATAAACTTAAAAATATGAAAAAATAACAAATCAAAATACGTTTAATAATTTTCATTTACAACGAAAAATCTGAAAGATTTCTTTATACGAAATCTATAATGCTAGAACTTTTTTAGTTTGTTATATGTTATTGTATTAAATAAAAATTGAAACTTGATATAAAATATTTTCTTTTGATAAACTATGATTCATCGTCGAATAAATTCAATTCAAAAACTTCTATTCAATTACTTTTATTTATTTTTTCAAAAAAACTAATATAAAAATTATAATATCAAAATATAAAAATTTAAATTCTAAAAGTGACGATTTTCTGAAAGAATATTTAATAATCAATGATAAATTAAGAGATAACAATTTGAATGATATAAATTTTCCTGTATCATTTAAATTATGCCCACTTGCACTTGAACATAGTAATTATCTTGTCTCATTCAAGGTGAATGAAAGTTATTTGAACTTTATCACTATTTTAAATGGTCATTTCCGCACTGTCGATTAAAACGGTCGTTTGAAAATATCTGACATATATATAAGAAAAAATATACATGGTGTGTTTTAAAAAATAATAACTGTAAATCTTTCTTTTATTATTATAAAAAATATATATTACCTTTTTCAAAACAATTTCCTTAAAAAACTACATTGACGGCATTGTTCCCAGTTTTCTTGTAACAATACTAAAAAGGTACTACTGAAATGAAAGTGTTTTTAAATTATATATATAATTAGTTGGTTATTATAATATTCTAATATTATAAGCATCTTTCTTCAAAATGACGACTATTGAAATAACCTTATTGAATAACCTTCCATTTTTGAAAAAAGGATGAAAGTCATGAATTTCAATTATAATATGGAAATTGTGGCAGAAATACATTTTAAATGTATTATAATTTGCAATCAAATTAAAATTGAAAGTATATAAAATAAAAATATACCATATTTTAAATAATAAAATTATAATGGGTTTCTATAATGTTTATGTAATGTTACTAGATTCTGATTAGGATTATTATATATTGATATATTTTATATGTATATAATATATGTCAGAAGATTAATATATTCACCTTTGAAGAAACTTTTAAAGAGAACTTTAGAAGTTAAAAGAAAAGTTGATACAAAAATTATTTATTAAGTTATATAACAATTAAAATTTTGCGTTAGATATAATATAAAAATTGCATAAAACAATATAAAAATAGCTTCGTGAAATTGATGTAACAAAGACAGATATCTCTTTTTATCTAATGTGAACTTTTCAATTATTATAATTTAATAAATAAGTTTTACATCAATATTATTATATATCAACTTTTGTATTTCTTTTGACATCTAGAATCACGAAATTAATGTCCTTTTATGAAAAATTAATTAAATATTATATATACTATAGTAATATATATATAATATACTATATATATAATATAATATAATATATAATATATATATAATATATATAATATACTATAGTAATATTTAAACTATTAAAATCTTCAATCGAGTTTTTGAAATGTCATAAATCATTTAAAATAATTAACAAAAAATTTAATTTTTGTTTCAGGAAATAATGTTATATTGATTATTATTATAAAATTAATTTTAGAATAAAAAAATTTGGATTACATTTGGAAATTATTAATATGCTTATATACTTATTATATGCTTATATTATAATATTGATATAAAACTTATTTATTAAATTATAATAATTGAAAAGTTCACAGATAAAACGAGATATCTGTCTTTGTTACATCAATTTCACGAGGCTATTTTTATATTGTTTTATGCAAATTTTATATTATATCTAACGCAAAACATTGTTTTACATTCATTTTAAAATAATAATAAATTTATAAGATTGAAGAAAAAATATTAATGAATAATAAAAGAGTAATTTTACAGAAATCATTTTTTATATACAAATCTGGAATATTAACTTTTCTTTCTTTTTTCTGTTATTTTTCTGTTATATAATTTTGATTTTTTGTTCCATCCTATCACATATATATTTACCTTATCTCTTTTAGAAGACTCTTCGAAATATTCTGACTGCAAGAATAATTCTCAATGTACCTATGCTGATTTTCAATCAGGCTACAATTGATGTTGGGCTCACAGAGAGTCATGAAATGTGGTCTCAATCGTCCGATCGTATATTTGGCAATATCGGTAAGTAGAACAGTAGTTGCTGCTCCAAAACCAAATATGCCAATCTGAAATGTTAAAAACAATTATAAGAAATTTAAATATTGTTATATATTATATAATTCAAATTTTGTATTTTTGATTTTTTTTCAATAAATGAATTTCTCAAACTTCATAATTATATATTTTGATATAAAATAAAAATAAACCAATAAACTTGCTATACGATTTTTTTTGCCAAATTATTGAATTTTGAATATAGTTAAAAATGATGAAAAATTAATATTTTTATTAAATTTTATTGTTTAATTTTAATATTCAATATTTTATAATTTGGCTAAAAAAATCGAATAGCAAGTTTTGAGGAATTATAAAATAAAGAAAAGACTTCAATCTTCAAATCTATTCTGGATTTAGTCATGAAAATAATTTTTCAATGTTTTTATAGCCGATTGAATTTTTCAAAATTTTTTAGAAAGTATCTTCACTTTTCTATTTACTACACGATGTAAAAACATCTTTGAAGAAATGAATTCAAGACTGTGAAAGTAGAAATTTCATGCTTCAAAATGAATTCAGAGTGATTGTTGTACGATTTCTTTTTATAAAGTTACAACAGTTTAAAATATTATTGAATGATTCACTTATTCATCGATTCTTTTTTTGTACTATATATATGTTTTATAAATACAATTTGTTTAAGAAAACGCAATTCATTATCTAGTAATACTCTTACGCAATAAATTATGTAATAAATTTTTTTTATCACATTTAAATATTTTTGTTACTCATCGCATGTTATCTTTAACATGATAAACATGCTCAATTTTATTTTATCGGACGTATGTTAGCGATGATAAACACGTATATTTTCATATATATTATATATTTTCATATATGAAAATGAAAATATGAAATATGAAAATATTTAAATTATTTTATGTAATATGTATGTCAAAATATCATATAATATACAATAAAGATAAAACGAAATAAATAAAATAATATAATATAATAAATAAAATAATATAAAATATCATAAAAATAAAAGATCAATATAATATATATGAATGCAATAATTATTGTATAATTAATTGTAATAAATTATAAAAAAATAAAAAAAATTTATCTTATAATAATTATTAATTAATTAAATTATTGATAATATAATAATAGCGACGAAAAATTTGTACCACTATGTTAAAATCTAAATTAAAGTTTAAAGAAAGTTAAAAGTTGAACTAATTTCTATTAAAATATATCACTATATTGTAGTTTTAATAAAAATTTCGTTGTGTTTTTTACAATTTTTATCTGGATTTATACTACAAAAAAAAACAGGAAAGATCTAACTCAAGTTAAATCATTAAAAGAGTTAGAACGATATCAAATGATTTCTTAATGAAAAATTAAGAAAAACGTATAAAAATCAAAAAATTCATATTGGAAAATCCAAATTATATATTTATATAACTATAAAATTAAAATACAAAAAAACATTTTAGAATTTATAAAATATATAAAATATGTAAAATCTAAAAATACAAATAAATGCAAAAAAAAATCTAAATCAATTATTTTATTGTTTGATTTGAAATAAGCCAACTATATTATTATATTTATTATTACAAATTAAAGGACCAAAATTTAATGTTTTAAAAATTCTAACAAATATAAATTATGTTAATATATTAATATATAAAATGTTAATTAATATGTTAATATAAAAATAAAATAGTGAATTAATGAAATAATAAAAGAAAATGATCAATGCAATAATTATTAATTTAAAAATCAAATATTAATATTTATCATAAATATGTTAAAATATCAAGATGATAAAAACTATATAAAACTATGATAAGAATATAGATAATACACTATAATTATTAATATAAATTAAATTTTAAATTTTAATATGATTTGAAATTAAAAATGCTGAAATTACAATTAAAAATGTTGATGAATTATATAAAGTAAATAAATTAATAATACATTTTTAATTTGACTTTTAACAAAATATAAATTATTATATTATATATATATTATATAATATTTTGCATTATTGTGTTTCAATATTGATAATTAAAAAAAAAAATAAACAGTTAATTTATATAAATCAATATATTAACATAATTTCTTATTAATATTTATTATTATTAAATTTTCAATGTAAATTATATAATTATATAATAATTATATAATTCAATAATTATTCTGAATATTTAATAATATTACAATTTACACTTTCGATGTAAAATATATAATATATACATAAAGATTGTCGCTTATTTAATAACATCTATATTATAGCATTGGATTAACATCAATATATTCACATTAATTATATACATGCATACTTTAATAGAAATGCATCCACTTAATGGCAATAGCACGGCATCGATACAACATGGCTTTCGTTAGCAATCTGAATTTGCTGATCCAGTACGATCATCTGCTGCTCACACACTGACAATGTATGTGTTTATTCATTTTATCTTATTACGAAATATACATATATAGAATATCCCAGAAATCAACCAACAAATAATTTAATGGCGATTTTTGAGTTGATTTTAAGCAATTCTTAGCTTTACGAAAAGATTCAAATTATTAACAAGTTATTAATGAAAAACATTGGCCAATCACGAAATGCATCGCAAAGTAATAGTAGCATTAGATATGTATTGTTGGTGAATCGATATTTGACATATATATATATTACTTTGATAATATATTTGCTCTACTTTAACTTGCTAGCAATATATACACTATCTATATACTAACTATATTGTAGATCACAAGTCTACAAGCTTTGTAATTAATCATTGCTTTCCATTATAATGTTTCATATAATAACATACAATACAAAATTGTTAACTATTAACAAAATATAATCAAAAATTTTTATAAAGAAAAAAATTGCTTGAAACTACCTGAAGAATTACACATTAAATTTTGTCGGTTGATTTCTGAGGATTATTTTTTATATAATGCTCATATGTAAACTGTCATAGATATGATATTTAATATAATATGATTTTATATAAATATATTGAAGAAAATCTGATATTGTCTAGTGTTGTTAAATAAATTAATTAATAATGATTTTTAATCAATTATCATTCTTCGTTAATGTCAAATATGTATGTATATGTATATTATATGTAGATATGTAAATTCATTTTATTAAAACAAATAATAGGTTTTAATACAGATACTTAAGTTCAAAATATAAAACAAATATATATACAAACTATTTAAATTCAAAATTTAAAATAATTTGTTAAATATAATGAATTTGTATGATGCATTATTATGTCAAAATAATTAATAATATTTAACAATAAAAAACTATATAAATATTTAATAATAAAATTAAACAACTTTGAATTTTAATTTTAATTTGAATTTTAACTTGAATTTAATCTAAATTTGAATGTTAAGAAAATCGATACATAATTATTTTACTGTCATATATTATAAATTCTTCTAAAAAAAATAATTAAATATAATATATAAATATATAAATATATGTATAATATATTAAGTATAGATAGATTAAATCTTAAATTTAAAAACTTATATAATGAATAAAAAAAATTATTCAAAAATTGAGACATAATTTTTTTGTCTAATATTCACGTTTTGAATTTCTCCCATTTAATATTTTCAATAAATTATTAAAAATCGTAATTTCTGTGATTGAATAAAAAATAAGATTTTAGAATAATAATATATATTTAATAATATTATTATTATTAATATTAATAATTATATATTATATATATAATTATATNTATTAATATTAATATATATTTTAGAATATTATATATATTTAGAATCTATTTTTTAAAAATTTATTTATTAATTTATTAATATGATAATGAGTAATTCGTTAAAAAATAAATCATTTTTTTAATCAATTTAAATAAAAATTTATTTGAATAAAAAATTCAAAAAAAAAAACAATAAAAACTTTTGATGATTAAAAAGAAAAACTAATTAAACTAAATAAATATATTTTAAAAATAAAAAAAAATTCTATTTATTTCATAGAAATCCATTAATAATAATTTTCGTTTATGATAAAATTTAAATTTAATTGAAATTTGAAATAAAAATTAAAATATTTTGAATAGCAAAATTATATTAAATCATTTCAAAAAAATTATATGTATTTTCACTATTAAGATATAAGAAAAAAATAATTTTTTCGGAATTTTTTTTAGTTTCCTTGATGTATTTACATAGATAATAAAGAATCTTTCGAGTATTGACAGAAAAATATTTCATAACTCTTTTCATAAAAGTATACAAAAGTAAGGTGTTAAAAACATGAAAAGAAAGGTTTCTCGGTCACAAGTTTTCTTTATTTCTTTATGTTTTTAGAATCATAGTTTGAATATCTGGACAAGAAAGAGTTAATTCATCTTTACTTGTAAAATAAAAATAAAGACGTACCTTCTCATATACATTCCATATCCATGGAGGTATGTTGTAGCCAAATAATATCTTTGTTGAATCTGCATTAGAATACCTTGCATAAAGATATTCACCTGCCAACATCTGCAACACAATTTTTATATTTACATGCATTATTATGATATTTTGACAATAATTTAAATGTACAGAGATAAAATATTCAAGAAAAATATATAAAATAAAAAATAAATATTAAATTGTGATATAATAAATATCATTTTGATAAGCGATATCGAAAAATACAAATTATTTTAATCAAAATATGAATCATCCGTATTGGATTAAATTGCAATATAATAAATATCGTTTCGAAATAAATCATATTGAACAATAATTGTATTCTCAACTTTTCTGTCTTGTGCTTCAAAGTTTTATAATACAAAATTTTAAAAAATCAAGTAGATCTGGAATTATATGTATATTATAAAAATAAATAAAATTGCACGTTTGAATGCTTGAAAATATTTTAAGCACCTTGAAACAGACAAGTAAATAATTTGGATAGTCTTATTTTATAATCTATTAAAAATTTAATATTGGATTATAACTTATAGGTTAAAAAATACTAATATATACAATTCAATTATAAAAAATAACAAATAATGATATAACGTAAAAATTACGATTTAAAAAAACGATAATTTTCAATTCTTGTAAGAGTACATGAAGTTTCAAATTGAAAGCTATTTAAAAATTAATTTGTAAAACTTTATCAATAAAAGATATAAAAAAAGACTATTCTAAATTTCTAAATTTCTTTCTATTAATAATTAAAAAATTATAATTTTTGATTTATATCACTTATTTTGAACAAATTAGTTTATACGAAAAAATTAGTTTCTTTATTATTTATGATAATCAACTCTTAAAATCTCGCATATTACATTATATATAATATGTAAATATTTTTTATATTTTTATAAATTATAAAAGCGAATAACATAAATAAAATTTTCTCTATTATTTTAAGTCAAAAATATTATTTAAATAAAAACAAAAGATTTAATATCTTATTAAAATTATATTAAAATATTATTTTAACAATACACTAATTTTTAATTTTTTTAAAGTATATTTTCTAATAAAGCATATGTCAATTCTTATTCATCTTATTCATGATACATATTCTTATATTGATGTAAATTACATCTGAAATTTCTAATCATCAATCACATATTCCAATACATACTTACACACACGCACTCGCGTGCATTTATATATACACTTATATATATACACATAACTTACATCATAAAATCTATGATTCGATATGTGAGTCATATGTTTTAGCGAGTGTAAATTAGGTTAAGTTAAGTTAGTTTATGTAGATCATTAGAAACTTTCGAGATTCTGAAATCTATTAAAATTTTCGAAATATCAATACTTTCCAAATTTAAGCTCTATCAAAATTCAAGTGTCTAGAATTTTTAATCGTAATATTTTTATAATATTTTCAAATCATATCATTATTTTGAATTTATATAATATTGAAAATCTTCAAATCTTTCAAAGTAAATTCGAATATTTATTTTTTGTCAATACGAATATTTAAATATAAATTATCATTTTATTTCTTTTTTATTATTTTAATTCTTTATTTTTAAGATCATTTTAAATTTCATTATAATGCAAATCTTTAATAACGAAAAATGATTCTAATGAACTAACTCATAAAATAAATCTTAGAAAATATAATTTATTTCGATTCACGCAAATGCAAAACGTAATATTCATTAATCACCACACAAACTGTGAATAAAACTTCCATATAATCATCAGTATTTTCATCCAAATAAATAAAAATACATCATTAACGAAATAGTATATTAAATGCACTACATAGTCATTCACGAATCAATCAATGCTTTCAAAACTGCACGATTTCTCTTGCTTCGGATTTAATATGATCATATTCTTGCCTTCTCAAAGTATCGACAAATCAATCAATCAATGACAAGAGAAAGTAAAATGTTTAAAAGTTAGAAAGCCAAAAGACTCATCAACAAGGTAGAAAAATTATATGAGCATTTTTTAATTGCAAAAAAATTGTATATGTTTAATTTTTCAGATTTTATATGCAAAAAATAATTATTCTAAAATTAATTTTAAAAACTTTTAAGTACTTTTAATTTTTCATCTTTTTAATTTTCTTCCTTTTCTAATTTCTTTCTTTTATCTTTTTAATTTTTATTTTCATTATATTATTATTATATTATAAATTTATTAGTTTGAATATACAAAATGATATTCATAATTTAAATGAGCAAATTTAGAATTTAATTAAAAAAATGTTAATAATATAAAATTTTTATATATAAATATAAAATATAAAATTAAGTAATACATTAAACTAACAATAAATAATATATAAATAAATCTCAATAAAATTTTGTTAAAATAAAACAATTAACATCTGCTACATACATTGAAGATAGAACATATTGAATATATCAGAAATGAATCGATGTTATTGGTTAATAATCACTCTAAATATTGAAGCACAAAAGGTTAAATATTGATCGACATTAACATACACGTGGATTATTATAAACAATAGAAATTATAGAACGATAATCAAAGTGTACTTTTACTCAAAAAGAAAAAATAAAAAAATTAATTACAGAAAATTATTTTTAATGTTTCTTATTTAGCTAAAAAATTTATTGATTAATTATAAATTTTTTAACTTTAAATTATTATATTTCAACTGAAATAAAAATAAATATTTTATAATTATAAAATTTAATTATATAATCTCAAGCAAACTATATCTATTAACAAACTATATCTATAGGATGAAATTTCGATTCTATCAAAAAATTTTACTAATCAAATATTTGCTTTAAAAAATTTCATTTTCTAATAGTCCTAGATTCATTTTAAATGAATTATTTTAAAAAATTTTCTTGTATAATAATATGTCTTGTTAATAAATTTATGATACATTTTTAAAGAATTCATTTCATAAACGAAAATAAACAAAAAAGTTGATATACAAAAATCTATATAAAAATAGAATAAGGCTGTTCTCATTTCGCCTTATCTAAAGCAAATTCAAATTATTTATAACTAAATAAATAACTCTTAATCAAAATTTTTATATATCAATTTTTATGTTTGTTTCGATCTCCAGAATCGATCTCTCAAAGTTGTTTCAAGATTATATTAATTAATTCTGTATATATTTAATCCCAATAAGAGATCGATTAAAAATACTTATAAAACTACATTTACATTAAACAAGTTTTGATTAATCAATCAAGTCAATAAATCACAATTTGATAAAAATTACTCATGTAAACTAAATATCAATCAAATGAAACGTACAATTAGAAATTGATTGATTGGATTGATCGATTAAAAGTTGCTTATTGGCTTGATAGAACGATCAGGAAATTTAACCAAGTTGAATCGACTTCAAATGAAAAAAAGAAAATTGAAAAAGAAACGATTATATTAGAGCTTGACTTTGATATATACAATTCAAGGTGACTGTAAGATCAATTACGTTGACACTAATAAATTGCTCGATCGAGAATAGGAAATAGCAAACTTTGTACAATCAATTTAATTGATATTTAATTTACACAAATGTTATTGAGCTACTGGAAGTTGATTGACTCAGTTGGTTGGTTGAATAAGAAATGGCTTAACGTAAATACAGTTTAAGAGATAATGTTCAATATATTTTAATGTGTTCTAATAAATTTAACCAAATTTTTAATTTCCTCAAAAAGAAAAAATAAAAAAATTAATTACAGAAAATTATTTTTAATGTTTCTTATTTAGCTAAAAAATTTATTGATTAATTATAAATTTTTTAACTTTAAAGTTTCCTTTTTCTTGTCATATTCTCCAAATTGACATCTATGAATTATTTTCTGTTCTCAAAATAAAATCGTGCTTGAAAAGATATTATTTTGGTTCCATTGAAGTCATTCAAATCAATATAATATAAAAATTAAACAATATTTCAATAACTGATTTCTACACAGAAATTCAGAAACTTTATAATTACTATATATTATGGAATAATCGAAACTCTCGATAATCGAAAAATCTGGATGATCGAAACTCTAGATAATCTATATCCTGTATTATCTAATAATCTACGATTCGATTAATTTATATTTTGTATTATATTAATTATATTTACCTTCCAAAACTAATATATATTTTTTATATAATTATCATCGGAAAATGATTCATACAATCCGAAGAAGCACATTTTTTTTCACGAATATAAACTTTTCTTAGCAAAAACTACTTCTACCTGACTATCTACAGCAGTGAAATCAAAGTTCACCTCGTGTTGCCATAAATAAATGAATTGTTCGAGAATACGAAACCAACTCGTCCCTTTTTCTCTCTCTATCGTTCCTTCCCTTTTCCATATAGAAAAGAGGAACATTGAAACAGGTAAAAACGAGGGAACCTGCTACTGGCATTTCATTCATTCCCCCATCTCTCTCGGTCTTGTATCACCTGGCGACCTTTATCTGGCCGGTTAACCCACTTTTGTTGGAGCCGTGACAGATCGGTGGATGTCGAAGGAGAGATTACCAGCTTCGTAAAGCTCTCGAGAATTTCGAAGTCGTCTCTTACCTATGATTTTTAATCATGGATTATGGCCCCTGGCGTGCGTTACTTGTGATTAATCATCAAGTGGAAAAAGAATTGATCTTAGAATAGATTAGGAAATGTGGAATCGGATTACATGTAGAACTCGGTTCATATGCATTCCATTTATACATATATAGTCACGTCTACGAAATATTGGGACTTTAGATTAATTAAAAATTAATTTCTCGAGAAAACAAATGTTATTGCATTTTTTTTTGTATATTTTTCTGTAATGGACAAAAATATTTATACATTCTTTAGAATCGAATAACTTTTTTAAAATTGAATCAAATAATGTGAATTTTTTTAAATATTAGAAAAATTACTAGATAATGTATAAAAAGAAAATTTGTTAAAATTTCTATTGATTGAATTATGAAAAAAAAAGTAAAGGATAGGATTTTTAATTTTTTTATTTGAAAATATAAATTATTAAAGAGTTATTAAAGATATATTAAAAA